CATTTAAAAAAACAAACAGTGCGAAGAGCAGCAACTTTATATTTTGCAATTTTTCAGAACCCTCTAGCGCAGGGGTGTCAAACTGGTTCCAGAAAGGGCTGTGTGGCTGCTGGTTTTCTTTCCACCCAAGCAGTTGCACACCAGACTCCATTTATTCCATCAAGTCATCAGGTTAAGACTAGACTCACCTTGATGAGATGAATGGAGTCTGGTGTGCTACTGCTTGGTTGGAAAGAAAACCAGCAGCCACACGGCCCTTTCTGGAACCAGTTTGACACCTGTGCTCTAGCGCTTTTATTTCAAAAAAGCACCTTGCGCCAAATCTAGCGACTTTTTTCAGCTAGTGGAGACTTTGGCAACAACCTATAAAAGCACAGAACTCTGCTCTCCAGAGCTAGTACGTTCATAACCCCGCCTCCTGCTCTCCTGTATCCTGTCTGCTGTCATCATTCATGCAACTGTTATTTTATACAAATAAAAAATGGAGAACAGATAAGCAGATCATTGCTTGTCTACAGTGAAAATAATTACTGTGTTATTTACTTTTGCCGGTGCCTTTTTGGAAACACTGGAAGTAGCAATCAGCTAAGTGAGCTTAGTGGTCGATAAAAATCTTTCATTCCTTTTGAGACAGCATAAAAAGTCAGTTGAGTTCAAAACATAGAGAGGAAAACAACAAGAAAAGGGACAAGAAGAGAGGGACAAAACGTTGAACAAATAATGTATGTCTGTTCTATAAAAAAATTCTAAATCTTTATGATGGGTCTGTTTTATGTCTTGTCTTCTTAATTCAGAGGGCCCCTGGCCGGTCTTTGCCTAGGGCCCCAAATTTCCTAAATCTGCCCCTGTATAAGACAAAACTGCTAAGTTTTTTTGCTGAGTTAAATTTTTTTCCCTAAAATTTAACTCAGAATTTACAGTCCTGTTTCTTCTTCCATATAACTTGAACATCACCTTGTTTTCCAGAAACAAGAGCAGCTGTCTCCAAGTTGCTGACAGAGTTCCAAGGCATCAATTGTCAAAATTGATGCCTTTGAATCTTTGAACAGATTTTCATTTCATTCTCTATGTCTCCACCACATGTAAAATCACTAATGCTAGTTGATCTGACTGAGCAGCTACACCTTGTTCCATTTTTCTCACATATTGGGTCTATGCTAGTTTACAACCTCTCTGTCCTGCATAACGTTAACTTTAGACCAAATTATACTCCAATCTGGTCAATGCACTCCAAACCAGTAGAGAGAAACAGCTAATTTGATTATTTATTCTTTTTGTGACTTTTCCAAAGTTATCTTCAAATTGTACGGGAGCATTGAATGTATGGATGAGCGGGTGTTTTCTTTCATATGCCGCTGTCCCATTTGTACTAGTAAAACCAAATCACATTAGACTGAAAGCATCTCTGCTTTCCAGTTACACTGATTGCTGCTGAGGCTGCCATTTGATTTTAATGTTTACTATCAAAGAGAATCTGCTCTGCGGTTGTAGATTTGCTGGAATGTAGTAGTTCAGATGGCACCGTCTCTTCAAAGAGGAACAAATGCATCGCTATGTTACCCTGATCAAAGTATTCGTTATGCAAAAAACATTGTTTTCTGGTAATAGTGACTATGATCGATAAGTCAAAGGTGTAAGGTGCTAAAAAGCTACAATAATATGGCAGAGGCACATCTGAAATGATGGGATGAAAACCATCAGACACGCTCAGAAACACTGTTATAGCAGAGAAAATCAAAAACATGGCTGAGGTTTGTTTGTGCGGCTGCTAGTTCAGGTTTAATCCAATGGGCAAATATCATACACTTTGTGTCACACACGTCTTTGAACCGTCTGCCATAAACAGCTTGATTAAGTCAGACCAACAGGTATCTGGGAAACCAGAAAAAACACATTCATATAGGATAAGGTGTTACCTAAACCATTTCTCTGTAGCTCTGGGCTCTGGTTGTATATATATATATATATATATATATATATATATATATATATATATATATACATTATCAGTCTGAGAGCTGGTGATGTATTTGTGTACATACTGCTCATATTCAAACATTTATTTTGTAAAGTAATTGCATTTTTATTTTCAACTACATACACATCAAAGCATGAAGGCATCTAGGAAATGTTTTGATTACATCTGCTGCTCCGCATGATAACGTGTGAGTTTAGATGGTTGGTGCTTCTTCTCAGAGTCCAGTGGAGATCAAAAGATTGCTTTAAATATTTTAAAAGTTGAAAAAGAGGCTAAACTTTTCTGAGAACAAACTTCTTACATAGGAAGCGTATTTTAGACAGATTCAGGCCATACAGAAACGGATTAAGGAGTGGCTGGCTGGTGAGATAATACAGTGGAAATATTGTTCTTAGTATTCCAGAAATTTGATTCCTGTTAAATCTGCTCTGTATAATTTCAAAGCAAACACCAAAAGAGAAGTTGATAATCGAACTGAGGTGAGGAGTGCAGGTACTGACAGCTTTCTGCCGGGTCTGTTTGGACCCAGAAAAACACACCTTAAAGATCCTCATGTAGGTGTAGAGAATCACAGACAAAGGAACAAAGACTGCCAGAATAAGCATAACAAATTCATAGATGTTATTAACCGTGGCGTCATTACAGGATAGTTTTATGATGGAGTGATTGTCACAATAAATCTTATTTATAACATATCCACAGAGCTGCAGAGAGGAGCTCAGTAGTATGGTGACACCAACAAAGAAAAAAGACTGCAACCATGTGATTGATAAGAGAAAGATTATCCTGTTAGGAGTCATCAGTGAGTTATACTGCAGAGGACGGCAGATAGCAACATATCTGTCATAAGACATGACAGCTAAGTTACTGAACTCTACACTTCCATAAGTAAAAATACAGAATATCTGCAGGAAACAATGTGGAGCCGAAATAATGTGAACATCAGAGAGGATCTGAAGCAGCATGAAGGGAAACAAGCCTGAGCTGCCGTACAGTTCATTGACAAACAGGCTGCACAGAAAGATGTACATCGGTTCATGTAAGCTCCTGTTGACACAGATAACAATAATTAATAGAATATTAGAACCAACGATCAGAACATACAGAAACAGGACGATGATGAAAGAGAAGTATTTCAAAGAACCAGTCTCCACATATGCACTAAGAGTAAAATATAAAACCTGGGAGGAATTCCTTGTCATTCTTAATTTTGTTTGTAACATATAGATGACTGGTTCAAGGAACTGATTACAGGCAAAAGTTACATGCTGACAATTTTAGAAAAAGGCAAATTTTGCGTAAGATTAGAAAAAATAAACCAAATATGGTGTGAACTTAAAGAAAGCACAATGAGAAAATGAAGCAGGGAAAAACCAAACTGCAACAGGACCTCAGGACTCGAGTTACTAATCTAGCTTAGATCGGCTTCCCTTTAAAAGTCCAAACACAGAGACGCCCACTGCAACACTCCTCGTGATCCATCTTCTCATCAACTACATCAGAGTTTTATAACTAAAACAACGTACTTCCTCTTCGATAATCTGCAGTGCACCAACATGGCAGCTGTTTCTGTACTTTAATCAGAGGAGGGTATCCATAGTTACGTTAACTTTGAAAATTTTGTTTTTTTTTAATAAAAGAAACAAAAAAATACTTTTAAAAGTATTTTCACTAGACTGTACTTAAGTAATATATTATGAAATATAGCTTCCTCTTCTTTTTTACGGGTTATATTTCTTGCTACTTTACCTGACTTTGGTTTCTTTATTTAATTAAGAAAGAGAACGTTTTAATAAAAACTACACTAGAGATGCACACATCAGAAACAGCTTTATTCTTAAGTATGCATCATTAGTTTTTTTTATACAACCAATTAGTGTTGCACCGATCCCAGTATCGGACAGTGCCCCTATACTGCACTAAATTGGTGGTTTCGGCGAGTACCAACAAATAAGGCACCGATACCATTTTGAGAGTCAAAAGTCTATTCAACTATTGTCTCCCATTCCAGGTTGGCAATAAAAAGTTCTTCTGGATTCATTTTGTGTCTTTTTCCTGCTTCACAAAGGTAGGCAGCAGCTTGACAAAACCATGAAGGTAATTATTTAACATCCAAGTAGTATGCAGTTCTTCATATATATACACACACACATCAATTCAAAACAGATGGTACCTGTAAGGTATCGGTATCGGCCAAAACTGCACAACCAGGTATCGGCATTGGCGCAACACTACAAACAAGCCCTGCTTTATTTTACTTTGTTTTATAAGCCTTGCGTTTGGAGGGGAGCAGCGGCCTAGTTGTTAGGGCATAGAGCTTGGAATCCTGAGGTTCTGAGCTTGAACCCCACTCTCACACCAGTGCCACTTTGGGTGTCTGAGTAACACCCTTAACCCCTCACTGCTCCCCAGGCGCCCCACGATGGCAGCCCACTGCTCCCCAAGTGGATGGGTTAAAATGCAGAGGTAAATTTCTCCAATGTGAGATTAATAGAGTTTAATTATTGTTATTTATTATGCTTTCAGTGAAAACATTTCAATAGAAAAGTATGTTATTTTTTTTTATAAATATGCTTTAAAGGTGTTAGCTGAGTGGATTGGTGCAAATGGCATATTGCTCAAGGTGCTCTACCTGTAGTTCTGAGAGAGAGCCCAGAACCAGGGTGTTTGATTCATGTCATTGAGGTTCAATGTTCTTCAAATTTTAGATGTGTTTTTAACACACTTCAAATTACACCATACTGAGGAGGTAAGCCATTCATTAGATTTAGACGTGTGGGAGCAGAGGCTAATCTAAAGGAGCAGGACACCAGACCTCGAAGGCTGGAATTGAAGACCACAAGCCTACAAAATAAACATCTCTTGAGCTACTAGATTTTGCACAATTGCAAATTGTTACAGTTTCACATTCACAACTGTTTTTTTTCTGCTCTTCCTAATTGTGATGTTTGTTAGTTTCTCCGTTTATTATCATGGTGATTAGAAACAGAAACATCTATTTGAGGATGACATCAGCCTGTTGTCAAGGACGGGGTCATTAAAACCTTTAAAAGCATCGGTGGAAGGTTTAAAGCTCAGTTCAAAGGAGCTCATTGTGTTGATAAACTAATGTTATAAGATTTTTACTTCACGTTGTTCATTTTTTTACTTAACAGTGATGTATATTGACATTCACATTCGAAAGGTAATGTTTTTTAAAAAAGAAAGGCACATCTAGATCTTTGATCTAAGCTTTTCTAAACACATATTACATTTCTATGAAGCATGAGGAGCACCATGACGAACTTTACACATTTTTCATTTTTTACGCTTGATGCATATTTCGATATCAAACAGCTGAGATACATTTTATTTATGTTTGTGCTGTTTCTGTATGTTCTGATCATTGGTTCTAATGTGCTTCTGATTGTGCTGATCTGTGTGAACAGGAGCTTACATGAACCTATGTACATGTTTGTCTGTAGCCTTTTTTTGAATCAACTGTATGGCAGTTCATCATTGTTTCCTTTCCTGCTGGGTCACATGCTGTCTGACACTCACACTGTTGCTGTTCCACTCTGTTTTATGCAGATCTTTTGTCTTTACACATATGTTGGCGTGGAGTTTTGTAATCTAGCCGTCATGTCTTATGACAGGTACCTAGCTATCTGTCATCCTCTGCAGTATCAATCCCTGATGACCATGAAGAAAGTTGCGGTTCTTATTGCCGTAGCCTGGATTACTGCCTTTCTGATCGTTGTTATTACAACATCTTTGAGTTTCTCTCTGCAGCTCTGTGGAAATGTCATTAATAAAATATACTGTGATAACTACTCTATAGTTAAACTGGCTTGCTCTGATACTACAGTTAATAACATTTATGGACTCATTTCCACTGCTCTTATTGTTTTTGTTCCATTTGGTATAGTTCTCTACACGTATCTGAGAATCCTCAAGGTTTGTTTCTCTGGATCTAAACAGACCCGACAGAAAGCGATCAGCACATGCACACCTCACCTGGCCTCTCTGATTAATTTCTCGTTTGGCGTTTGCTTTGAGGTATTGCAGAGCAGGTTCAACATGAGCAGCGTGCCTCATGCCGTCAAGATATTTTTGTCACTGTATTACATAACATGTCAGCCACTGTTCAACCCTGTGATGTATGGCCTAAAGCTATCAAAAATACGTAGCTCGTGGCAACGACTGTTTCGATAAAACTGGATCAAAAATGTTTACTGCTGTTCAGTAGTTTTTTGTGATGGACATCACCTGTTAAATACCTACAATCTGTTGAGATGTGAATAGAGCATATTGTGAAAATAGCACTTTTTTCACAATTTTAGCAGCACTTTTTTGAGAGATTTAAGCTGTTTCTGAATGTATGCCCTAACCGGCTAACCAATCAATCATTACATAAGGCAGGGACTATGCAGTGGACTTTATAGTTGACTTAGTGAAGTGACTGTTCAGCCTGTGGTCATGTGACTCTGGCTCCTTGCATGCTGCCTGTACTATCTTTGTTGTCTCCCGCCCCTAAAACAAATTAAAAAAATTTTTGCAAGAAGAGCTCTACAAAGCATTCTGGGATATATCGGCTTGTCCAGTGACCATCATCGTACATTACTTTTCAATTAGCGTTGTGAGAAATTTTGAGTGCAATATTTTTTCATCCATTAGACATTCAGACACTCATATAAAATGGCATAACCCCTACATACTGTAGTGCTCTATATAGGGGTTAGGGTGCAGGTTTATACACAGCCTCAGTCTTTCAGAACATAAAATGTGGGGTTCTAAATATTTAGCAAAATGTTTAAATATTTAGTGCAGGGGAAGATCATTCAGGACCTGGTTAAAGAAAAAAAAAAGGTCAAACAATCAAAAACAAACTTGACCACATTTTTTGTGTTTAAAACATTAAGTTTTATTAATTGGGGAAGAAATTCCAAGATTTAAACAGTTTGTTAAGGAATTGCTGTGCAAATCTGAATTGCATGCAGAAGGGACAATCCAGCTGGCTTTTTTAGTGCCGTTATTGTCCTGAGACACTGGGAGATGTTTAATCACATGCACTGGGATTTAGATTTAATGCGGAACTGTTTGTTTTGTAAAAGTTTAAATAAGACACATTCTCCTTTTCTTTCCTATCCTTAGTAATAAAATGTTTAGGTGGATTTCTAAAAAGGTTACACAATGTTTAAACATTCACCTAAATGCTATATTTCGTGACTTTTCAGAACCCTCTATTTTAGACCTATTTACTTAAAAAAAGAGCACCTAGGGACAATTCTGGTGACCATTTTCCATGTTGTTGCAGACCAGTGTCGATTTTGGCGACAGTGTGTATGCAATGATAGCACTGAATTTCACTGTCTTCAGCGAGCGTTGAGGGCTGCTTTGAGCTCCTCCAAATCACTGACAGGCAGTCAGGGTCAGCAGCAAAGAGATGGCAGAGTATATATATAAGGGCATCTGAAATTCTATTTATATTTCTCAATTTTTAAGCTTTTTGAGCTTAAAAATTGTGAAACGAATTTTGCATATCCTCCTTTTCTTTCCTCTTCTCAGTATTAAAATATTTAGGTGACCTAAACTGGAGTTTTGGGGGGTTTTTTGTTCTCAAGATGGCAAGAACATAAAAAATGTATTTCATCTTATACAATTCTAATCATGTTACCTATTTGCTATGAAGACCCCTCCAATGTTCATACCAGTCCTCTACCCTACAGATCAAATAAACAATAGAGTGAAATGTTTAGTAAAACCAATATAGGTATATTGTGACTACCCATATATTTGATTAATAATAAAATGAGCACTCAATAATGTAAGTAAACCATTTAAGTGGTCAGATTTCTGCAGGGTTGGATTGTTTGAACCACTATGATCCCAAACTTGAAATAAGTTTGCCTGAATTTAAAAAAAATGCATAGCCCCCTTTCCAAGTGGCCAAAAAACCTGTTTAAAGCTACAGTGTGTAACTTTTAGCGACATCTAGCGGTCAGA